ATGCAAAGAAATTCTTATTTTTATATAAATCAAATATTAATGGTAAATCCAAGATTCTTCTTAGCTTATAGGTTTAGTTAAAGGTACAATAGTTAGGCCATTGTGAGGAATTAGTGAAAATTCCTTTCATAATTTGCAGATTTATATGCACAATATCATTACATACATAGGAATTGCTCAACTGCCGAGAAATCCAGTCTTACCTAGTTAGGCCCATCCATTGATGGAACACAAATAACCTAATTTGCCAAATGTTTCTATAATAAATTTGATCGAAAAAAAATTTAAACATTCTCCCATCTTTTTAATCTACTTTTGTCCTTAAATACTTCTTTTATAATGATATATTTTAGTACCTTCCATTCTTTATCTTTATTCATTTCCAAACTTGTTAAAATACTTTCGAATTAATGCTAAACCTAAATTCTTATCATTTTTATTCTTTCAACCAAATTAGGAGGGAGATGGTCGTTCCCGACATGTATTGCAAAATTTCTCCATGCGAAAGCAAATAATCAATAATGCTTAATAATTCAGATTCTTATCAAACTGCATCCTTAAACCTTTGAAAATAGAATTTTCCCAATGCGTTTATTTCAATCTCCACCAAAAAAAGTAAAGGGGTCATGCCATTGATATAAAATTCCATGGACAAAAACTGACCTCCTTCGCTATTCCAATACCTCAAGAACTCCAACTGTTTTATAGAAAGCAACAATTATTTTGGCATGTCAACTGATTCCTGCATCCACTTCGATTAATGTTCACCAAATAAATGGTTCTAAAACACTTTTAATGAAGAATGCATTTTTAATGAAGAATTTCGCCAAACTGTTTATGAGTCAATCAATAATTATTAATTATATCATTCGCAAGATTTGAATTATATTATTCATATTAAGTTTTATATATTGGATTTGTGTTATATTTTATACCAAAATATTATAGCTTCATTTATACTGAATAGCTTATTCTTTATATTAGAACAGCTAAATAACATTTACATATTCTTTGTTCAATTAATTCACTTTAATTAATTTATTCAAGACGAGTTCTTGACATTAAGTTATATGATAGAGTCAATGGGTAAAGAAAAGAAAAAAGCTAGTAGAATGTGAAGATATAGCTATACGATAGGGGGACAATGGGTAATAAGATACGATAGACGATTGATACATTTGCAGTTCTATATATCTCTTTAACCTTTCAGTTTTTAACTTTATCTTCCTTAACCACATCCAAAGAGGTTATTAAAAATTTTTTTAATTATGTAGAGAAATCTCCAACTTTCTCAGCATTAATCGGTTCAATATTTTTGCAAAAGACATTGTTCTTAGGACTCTTTCTGATCTCCATCAATAGCAAATTCCACTTAGGACTCTTGATGATCTCCATCAATAGCAAATTCCACTTAGGACTCTTGATGATCTCCATCAGTAGCAAATTCTATATTAGTAACCCTGACAGAAGTTAAGAAAATAATTAAACATAAGCCTATGCAAGGTTCCAAAAATACTTATTTTAGGAATAATTATAACAACGTATTTGGAACCTTGCATAGGCTTATGTTTAATTATTTTATTAACTTCTGCCAGGGTTTCCTTCTCCAATGAAGACAGCGCGATAGCTAGATGCACAGTATCTTCAAAAGTAATATTTCCTTCGGCATATTTTGACCGAAGTTCTTTGTCCAGCTCAGGTAACCTTACTCCTAAGATGAAAATATCTCTTAAGAGTTCATCAACCGGCGATTTAAAATTACATAAAGGGTAAATGCTTTTTAATTTAATTGAAAAATCAATTATAGTTTCGTTATTTCTATTTAAGGTATAAAAATTGTTTCTATGAAAAATACTCGAGACATCCTTAAATATTTTTTCTAAATTCTCGAGTAAAGTTAAATAATTTATATTATCTAAATTATTAGGAAAATAAAATTTTTTAATTTTAATTAAATTTTCAGTGCCTATATAGGCGTCGAAAATATTACTTTGAAAATGAGTTCTATATTATATAGGTATTCCTGAATATTAACTTTTTCTTTTATGATCTCAGGAATATGAAATTGAGTATGTTCTTCAATCTTCTTTAGAGGCATGTTATAATTTTAATCTTTTTATTTAAAATAATTCGTCGTCGTCAAAAATGACTTGAAAATATATCGTCGCCAAATGAAATGTATTCAGAACAATAATATTTAAACTGGAATCATATTTATATTATTAATACGAACTTCTTCAGGAAGTCTTATATCTTTAAGAAAGGGCATTCCAAAAATAAGGGAATTCTCACCCTTAACTACCCAAATAGGTAAAAATTTTGAAATATTTTTTACTTCTGTCTGGAAAATACTGGTTAATTTGCGTAGACGCTTTCACCAAATGGGTTGAAGTTGCAATTTTAACACATATTAATTCGACGAGTGTAATAAATAATCTGCGTAATTATTTCGCTAGATTTGGTTTACCTCGTTACATTGTCTCAGATAACGGTACTCGGTTTACTGGATCTGAATTTAAAACGTTTCTTTTTAAAAATAACATAAAACATTTTAGATCGGCCCCTTATAGCCTCAAATCGAATGGTTTGGCTGAGCGTTATATACGTACGATAAAGATTCTTTTCTATGCTGGAAGGAGAAGTGGGACTCCGGACCAGTTAAATTTAGCGAATGTTTTAAACACCGAAATACTCCAAATGCAACTACCGGTAAATCCCCTGCCGAAATGATGTTTGGAAGGTCGCTCAGGAATCGTTTATTAAAAATTTACATTCTATTTGTGCGCCTTTACACCGACTAACGAGTAAAAATGTGAGTTGGTCAACTTAAGAAGATGAAATATTTAATGTAGTAAAAAAAATATTATCAAAAGAAGATACAATAATTCCTTATTCAGCCGATATTCCTGTCGTGATTTCTTGTGACGCTTTTGAAGATGTAGGAACTGTTATTGCACACCGATTTCTTACTGGCCAGGAGAAACCGATTGCTTACGCATCGAGGAACTTTCGGCGGCTGAAAAGAATTACGCCACCATTGATCGGGAGGCTTCGGCTATCATGTTCGCTATCGAGATGTTTCATCAATATATTTATGGAAGACATTTTATTTTGGTTACAGATCATAAACCTTTAAAATATATCTTAGGTGATAAAAGAGACCTAAATAATACGGTGGGCCACGAAGCTTTTAAATTATGACTATGAGATAATTCATAGGCCGGGTAATCAAAACAGATGCGCCGACGCTCTGTCCCGTTTGGGTGTAGAGAGAGAAAAAAATTAATGAAGTTAAATAAAAAATTTGAAAATGAAATTAGAGAAGTAAAGATCAATTTAATAGAGGATTTATCGTTCACTCGAAGCAAAGTTATAAGTGAGACGATCAATGATATAAATCTAAAAGAGATCATTAAATTAATAAAAAATCAATGGCATATTGATAATATGAATGATTATTCGGGAATTTAAAAAAATTCATCTTAATTAAAGAGAATATTTCTTTCGAAGAAGGGCTATTATTTTATAATGATAGAATCATTATTCCTGATAACCTAAAAAAGAGGTTTTGAATGTTATCCATCAAGGACATCCGGGAATGGTGGGGATGAAATCCTTATGCAGATACTATGTCTTCTGGACAAATCTTGATCGGATGTTGAAGAATTCGTCAAAAACTGCAAGAGTTGTCAGGAAGGAAGACCGTGAGCCAAAGAAGTACCATTATAAGAATATTCCTACCCGACCTTGGGAAAGAATACACATTGGTTTGACAGGCCCCGTGTCTGGAAAGTACTGGTTAATTTGCGTAGACGCTTTCCAAATGGGTTGAAGTTGCAATTTTAACACATATTAATTCGACGAGTGTAATAAATAATCTGCGTAATTATTTCGCTAGATTTGGTTTACCTCGTTACATTGTCTCAGATAACGGTACTCAGTTTACTGGATCTGAATTCAAACGTTTCTTTTTAAAAATAACATAAAACATTTTAGATCGGCCCCTTATAGTCCCAAATCGAATGGTTTGGTTGAGCGTTATATACGTACGATAAAGACACGCGTTTCTATGCTGGCAGGATAAGTGGGACTCCGGACTAGTTAAATTTAGCGAATGTTTAATTACACACCGAAATACTCCAAACGCAACTACCGGTAAATCCCCTGCCGAAATTATGTTTGGAAGGCCGCTTAGGACGACGTTAGATCAATGGAAATTATCTACGAAAGAAAAGACTGAAAACGCGTTATGGAAACAATAAAATTATAATGATAGGAACGTTGAGCCGAAGAGAAGCAAAAGGTTTGGGTAAAACGAAAGGACTGCGGGATGGCTTGAAGGGACAGTATCAACGGAAAAGTGCGATATTGTATGATGTTGAGTCTGAGGGTATTGTAAAAAACAAGCATGCCGACCAACTGAGGGAAGCTCATGTACAAGCTAAAGAAACACCCATAACAATGACTGAGGATTTGGACATTGCAGATGGAAATGCAACTCTAGAAAAAAGAGTTTCGAAACCCCCATTACGTTATTATGATGAATTCAATTTATAGTGGGGAGAACTGTAATGTATTTAAATAAATTGATTTTTATATTTGCTTAAAGCTACAATTTATTACAATTTATAAAAATAGAAAAACATATATATATATTTTATTATATGAAATAAATCACTATATTATCGTTCTGAATACATTTCAGTTATGAGATTTTTTGTTTATCAATTTTTTTTACTAATCTAAAAATATTGCAATTTTTTAATTAATATTGATTAAATATGAATTTTATACTGGTTAAAATAAAAAAAAAAGAGGTTTACCGGAAATTTCGTAAAAATATTAGAGGTTTTAATCATTCGCCATCTAATTATACAATCAATTGATCGAAATATAAAAGATTATATTTTAATAGCCAATTCAATTATGACAGTTCATTTTTTTTAATATAAAATTAAATAAATCTAAAAAGTGTCAATTATATTTGTAATATTATTAACTTGAAATAGAGTAAATCCTCTATATAGCTCAAAAAGAATCGCACCTATGCTCCATATATCACAACTTTGAAACCATCCATTATCTAAAAATTAATGTAAATTTAATATATTAAATAATAAAGGTCACAGTCCTGTCTCTGGTCTGGACCGATCAAAAGACCGGATAAATCACAGTCCTCTAATATTATCGTTCAATCAATTTGCATTTCCGTCTAAGAATATAGAGTATATGATAAATTTCTATTTATGCTATTAATTATAATAAAACACTTATAGATTTTAAATTATTTTGAACCGCAATAACAAAATAATTTAAACATAGATTCATAAACTTGTCATCCCTTATGATGTATAATAAGAATAATATTAGGCAAACTTAATATAACTTCAAGTGCCCGGTAATGCCTTGTGGATATTAATGAACTATGATGTTCGTGATCAAAAGTAGCTGAACCAAAATCTATCAATTTTATCGCTGTCTTTTTGACTTTCATGTATCTCTTACTCTAGAATCAAAATTGGTATTAGTTAATTAATACATCAATTCAACGATTAAGTTTATTAATATAGGTTACATTTTAAAAAGGAGAGGGGGGGGGGGCAACATTTAAAAAAAAGTTAATTAGATTTTTTAAAATCCAATTCCAAAAATAATAGAAGGAAAAAGATTAAGAAGAGTTTATAGAAATAATATAATTTTTGAATGGGGGCCTCCAACTTTTTCAGAGAACACCCCACCCGCCCTCCTTAGCACAGATCCTAAACCCACGAAACCAATGATGCTAAGACCTTTCTCGTGAATATAATATAAAATGCATACTAACTATGTGTATTGACTAAGAAGGTACCCTCGCCCTTTGAGTTACCCTCTCGAATATTAATGATGCAATCCCTATATCTACTCCAATGCAGGGATCCTAATCGAATCTTAACTGTTAAATTAATCGTTATTATTTACAGAGTCTAAGCCGAACCTGAACCGTTAAATCGGTATTAACTGTTCCTGGACAGTTAAAAATTTTGTCAGCCCACCCTAAACCGAATATTTAAAAAGGTCTGTGAGCCGGGTGGAACCTTTTGATATCCTAGTTTTAAAGAATATTAATAATCAATTTTGATTTATAAGTATGAGTAACTATTAGATATATTTGTGTATGGGAGACCGGGGTAAAACCATATTTTGCATTTTTACCATAAAATTTTAAAACATAAACAAAACAGAACAAATTATAAATTTATATGTAGTCAAATCCCTCTCATCTACAAAATAAAAAAAGTGTAGCTCTCTACCTATAATACTTTAGGGCAGGGTTGGTATGTCAGTCAATTGACCGGAGGAGAATTTGACCAAATACTCTAAAATATTATTGGCGAATAAATATTTTGATATAATTAACCAGTATGCATTAAAAGAATGTTTATCAATCTTATTAGGTTACAATTTATTTAAAAAATTTATTTGTATCATGAAGGAATCGTTTTAATTATAATTTTGACGGGTAAATTCTCTCTTTATTTCAATAGTTGCTGATATAATATGTTATCAAAAGTTTATAGCAAATAATAAATTTTTTTATATGGTAAAATTAATAAAGGTAAAAAAATATAAAAATATAATTTGCGAAAGGGTAAGGGATAAAAGAATGGAAACTAGGAAAGAGAAGGGAGAGAGAGAGCATAGACATAGGAGATTATTCAATGGAAGAGATGAAACTTAGGTAGTTAGAGCGAATGATGGCGGTAGCAAGTCTTTGTCGTAAAAAAAGGGACTCTTTAGGCTGATCGGTTTTTTCCCGAATCCGTTTGCCTAATTCTTTAAAAAAACTTAGAGCTTTGCTACCGAAGGTGGTAAGAGTAGAGCAGGCGATAGGTATGAATAAGAAAGAGGGGTCTATGGAACTATATTTGATAGTTTTACGAGTTTCTGCTAGAGCGAGGGCATCGACGTTGTGGTTGGATGGTGCATTTGGGTCAATGCAGGTGAAGTCCCAGACTAGTAGCTGGCCCCTTGACCAAGGAATCAAGGACATTCCAGCAGGACGTTTTCCGTCGGATCTAAAAATGCCGGTCGGTTCAAGTCTTGATGGAATGCCTGCGGATTTGAGAGCGCGCAATATGATGTCATTGCAATTGGTGTGCCGTGGAAAACGGCCTCGGCAAAAGCGGCAATGGAGGCAATGTCTGCCCTTGCGATCGACGCTGGTTTCGCAATGTTTGCATTGGTACGGTAGAACAATTTCGCAATTGAGCCGTAATCCAATGGCAAATCTTAGCTCGTCAGCGGTCAGCAACAAGTCGAGGTTGTTGGAGGGTATAGTTTCCAGAAACTCGTAACCCGATCCTTGGTTTAATTGGTGAAAGACTGTGAGATCGTCGTCATGAAGGCTCGATTTTAGGTAAGCGACGGAGCCTTCATTGAGTGGAGTATCCCAGTCTCTCTGTAAACAGGAGGAGGGTCGAGGAGTGTTTGGGACAACGGAATTGTCCCAAATGGTCTGGGCTTCAGCTAATAATGGGTCAGGAAAGTGAGAAAGCTGGCTAATGTGTGAGTCAGATGAGAGGCGGGAGGCGATGAATCCACTGATGGAAAGAGTTAGAGGTGAGCGTAAGCTGATGCCCCCGAGCTTGCATGGAAGTGATGCTTGTAGCCATGAATTATGGTTGAAGCGAAGATTAAGGATCTCTTCGGCAAGAGATTTGACGGAAGTTTCAAATGATTTTAGTGAGTCGGGAAATTTAAAGATTGAGGTGGATCGAAGAGCGTAAAGAATTTTAAGAATGTAGTAAAAGTTTTTGAGGAGAAAAAAGCTTGATGGCGAGGGAGAAATTTAGAGATGTTTTTGAAATGAAGTAAGCTAGATGATGCGTTAGTGAAGAAGTGATTAATGGATTGCAAGCCACCGACAGGTGAGCCGAGATGAGTGAGGGATGATAGCTCGGTTGTAAGGAAGTTATGGGTGAATGGGATGGAACAATGAAGTGGACAGATCTCGGTTTTTTGTTCGTTAAGTGAAAGTCCAATTGCAGCGGAATGTGTATTAATGATGGCGAGGGCCTTGGCGACCTCGTGAGGGGAGCCGCAGAATATTCCGTCGTGGCTTTACCAAGTGTGGAGTGGAAGATTGCAGTTGGTAGAAATGTTTTTGACCATTTCGTTGATTCCAATGCAGAAAAGTATCGAGCCTAGAGGATCGCCTTGCTGGATCCCTTCAGATGATGAAAGTAAGTAGTTGTTGAATTGGAGATGAGATGGCTTGGAATAGCAGGAGTGGAAAAATTGGGAGAAGGTGGGAAATGAGTGGTATATTTGTGGAAGAAAGTGGGAACGGCGAATGGAGTTGAAGGCGTTAGAGAAATCAATTTTGACGAGGATTTCGTCACTAGTGTTGGTTTGGAGATGGATGCGAGTAGCGTGTGTGGCTATTTCGCAACCGCCCTGGATGCCAATACCGAGTTGATGGGGTGCTAAAATTAAGGCTGCGTTGTCCTTAATTTTGGAAGCTATAAGTTTAGCAACGAGACGACGGAATACGGTCCCGATTGCTATCGGCCGGATGTCCTTGTTCGGCTTTTCGAGTGCGATTAATTTAGCGCCGAACAGGAGTGGCCTGATGGATTCGGGAACAGGTCCATGTGCTATTTTGTTGCAGAATGTTGTTAGATTCTGTAAAATAGGGACCTGGCTGACTATGAGGGGGGATGTAAGGTCCTGGAGGAAGATGGGGCGAAGCCCATCGTACCCGGGCGAGGAGTCGTGATGAAAGGATAGGATACTTTTGCGCACCTCGACGGGGGTAAAATTAGTGGGAAATATGTTGGGCGGAGGAGGAGGTATGAGGTCACCTCCAGAAGGGTGCTTAAGTTTAAGTTTGTTGTAGCAAAAATTTTATAATATAAAAAGAAAAACAAAAGAATTTATTTTATTACTAAAATAAATAAATATAATAATTTAGCTAAGTCATGGTTTTTTTTCATAAATTTAAATTTTATTTAATATTTAGCCGAGTATAAATTAATTTTCTTTTTAGTTGTTCTGGTCATATTTGCAAAATAATTTTTCAATTCTGGTAAAAAGTTATATATTATATTATATTTTATATAATATTAAGCCAAGTTATTGAAATAATTGGTTGATAATTATAAAATAATTAAGATTGATTAACTTTACTATAATCAATATCTTTTATAGTTAAATTTTAATATATTAGGGATTATGGTCAAACCAAAGCATCAAGTTTGGAGACATTTTCAAGAAGTATTCAATGGCAAATCAATTAAAGCGGTATGCAGGTTTTCAAGATTTTCTATATTACCTATGTTGATAGAACGATCAATCATTTATTAAGCAGCTGTACTATGTAGTGTTGTTAAACGGCTCTATTTTAGCCGATTTTTAAAAACGGCTAACTCAATATTTTATCCAGAAAAATATTACTCAAGCCTGAAGATTTTGCTCATAGATGGCACAAAGATCTTGGCATCTATTAGCGAAATCTGGAGCCTTAGGCAATATTTATTTGGCTAAAATATTGAGTTAGCCATTTTTAAAAATCGGATCAAATGAGCCGTTTAACAACATTAGTACTATGTGCCCTGTCATAATTAAGGAAAAATTTTATTCAAATTCCAAAATATTAACCTCTACAAAAAATCACACAAATGTAAGTAATACTTCTAACTCTAATGTAGAATTGGGTGAAATTAGTGGGAATGATATCAAATTGACATGTCTTGTGACTCAGGAGAATTTAATTCCATTATCTCTGATCATCTACACAAGCAAGGCGATTAAATGTAAATCTCAATCTTGTATAACCGGCTTCATAGATAGAATGAATCCCAAAGGAAAAAAATAAGGTGGATTAATTGTTTGCAAAGGCTGTATATGTGAGCAATTTATCTTTCCACATCACTGAAAATCGCTACATCCAATAATTTTTTAAAATAATATGTCCTATTTACACTTTACCCAAACAAAGGCAGCCTGTTGGATATCTTCTAGACAAAGCGTCAGGAGATATGGAGGCGAGAGTTGCAGATATAATAGATAAAGCTCCTCACTTATTAATTGTATCAGATGGCTGGAGCAACATCAAAAACTTGAGTATTATTAACTTTAAGGTGATGACGTCTGTTCCAGTATTCTACAAATTTTTAAATATTCAGGAAAATCGCCATATGGCAGACTATATTGACCAGGAATTTTAAAATGTAATTCATGAATTGAATCCGATAAAAGTATATTCTTTAGTTACTGATAATGCCGCTAATATGAAAGCAGCCTGGAGAATTCTAAAATATGAATCTATTTATAAACGTACACAATGTTATGGTTGTGCGGAGCATACATTGCAGTTATTCTTTCACGATTTTGAACGATTGAACGACTTCAGTTACCATATTTCAATAATTAAATAAATTGTTAAATTTTTAAAGAATAAACACATACCAGCTGCAGTATTTTCCCATAATAAGAATCAACATGGTATACCATCTACATTTAGTACATTTAACCAATCAAGATGGGCATCGTCAATATAATGTATGGAGCAAATAAAAATATGAAGGAAAGCTCTGAAAGCATCAGTTGTTGAAGAAAGCTGTATGTGATATTTATCCTATAGAAATTACCAATTATATTTTAAATGAAGAAAAATTAAAATTTTTTAGTTATACTCCAACCTTTAGCTACCTCATTGTTGAATGTGCAAGGGATAAATGTACTAAAGCCCAAGTAAAAAACGAGATGCTTAATTTGGAAAAACACATAATGCAATCATGCCATGATTCTATATTTTCTCCATCTGAAGAAAAAAAAATTAAAGTTATGTTTGAAAAGATAAAAAATGATCTAAATACTTGTGCTAAGAATGCTGCTTATTTATCGGGCTCCCAATATCAATGGGAGCATCTTACTAGTACTAAATTTGATGAAGCATGTAATATAATACAAGAATTTAGTATTTTATAAGGTGGTGATAATCAAAATATTTTAAGTGATATAATAAATTTCAGAAGTAAAAGCGGCATATTTAATAGCCAAAATATGTTAAAAGGGGTAACTTTATAAGAAACAATCAGATTTTAACTTCAAGTTGATGGAAGCACTTTGCCCACCTTGTCCATTAAGAGAAGTAGCTAATATTTTACCAACATTTCCTAGTTCGACTTCTTCTTAAGAACGAAATTGGTCGGTTTGGGGCAATATTCATATGAAAAAACAGAAATCGATTGGAAACTTCTAGAACAGGAATATTGGTATATATCATAACTTAAGATTGATTAAAAAATTTTAAAAAAATAAAGATATTGAATATGAAACGGTAAAAGACTCTGCCACGGAGGACGAAACATTAACTATGGAATGAATTTAAAAAAAAATTATGAAATTTATAATATTACATAGATTCATTATAATATTATATATACAAAATAAAGTTAATAATGGCGTAAAAAACATTTATTTAAATTTGACCATATTTGACCGAATCGTATTTGACTGGTCAACTGCGAAACCCTGCTTTAGGAGCTATTAATCTGAAATATGCCATTTCGTATTTGACTGGTCAACTGCGAAACCCTGCTTTAGGAGCTATGATTAATTATCTGAAATATGCCATTTCGCAATTTTACCCCATACCCAGGTTAAAGTGTAATCAAAATAAAACGATTAAAATAAAATTAAACATGACTATATAAGTTTAATTGAATAAAATATTGCAATTTTGATATCAATTAATCACTTTTAGTATAAACTACTCAATACAATACCGGAACATAAAATTTATATCAAAAATAGCACATTTTAATTGTGCTCATTTTAGGCATATCGTACATTTTAATTATTCATTCCCATTGATACTATTTGTAAAATTTTATTCCAAATAGCTCACAAACTATCTATTAATGTTCTTTTTGCTCAAATGTATCTTTTTATATGGTGTAAATATTTATATTTAAAAATTATCTTTTTACAGCTTAAATCAGACTGAACACATAATAACTTTACCCGAGGGTGATATATATTGTACAAATCGTTATTGCGTGACTTCTAGTAAAGCTTTACACTTCCGATATATTTTATTTTATAGCTATGGCTTTAAGGAACGTGTATAAAATTCTGAATATATTTTGCTAAAATCAAAATAAATTAGAGGGTGAATTTTGTAATTTTTAGGTGAAAAACGAGTTATTGGCAAAATAGGTCAAATGAAGAAAGTTTTTCAAAAGATAAACAGGTAAGAAATTAGATTAAAAATACATCTTCACAAAAAATTTAAGGTCTTTATGCTCAAGGGTTAAATTTTTATTCGTGTTAACATTGCTACCCTGTCAATCACTTTACCTCAGTCTCCCCTATGCCAGCTACTCGAGTTAGCATATAGAAGTGTTTTAAATATATAATCTATTCTTTCTCCTTATAGATGGAGTTTTACAGAAGAGAATTATGAAAATATTTTAATCGTATATGATTCAATGTTATCTTTAGAATAAAATTAAAAAAAATGTGCTTCTCTTTATTTAATTCTAATAAGTTCAGAGACCTTCATGTGCCTTAATTTTTTTTATCAGGCCCGGCCCAAGCCCGATGTAAAAAAAATTTTAAGCCCAAGCCCAGCCCATATTCAATATTAAAAAATTCCCAACCCAGCTCAAGCATATAATAAGTTTCAAAAAATTTTCCAAAGCCTGACTCAAGCCCTTATCCAAAAATCTAATTGATTGTATTTTATGAAAATAAACAATATTTCAGTGTATTTAGGCCATCATTTAATTTGCCATACTGAAATATATTATTGTTAGAAGAAAAGCATTGCAATATTTCTTTAAGTTAGAAACAGTTTTAAATCTAAACTCAAATAAAAATATTTATGGCCCAAGCCCAGTAAATAATTTTTTCAAAAACCCATTCCCGGAGCTGGTCTCTGATAAGTTTGTAAGAAAAGGTTCAACCTAGGTTTTTAAATTTCAAACCAAACCGATAATGATGAACCGTTATTTTTATCTGAACAAACTGCAAAATAATATTCGCGGTTCGGATCCCTGCGCGACTGTGATGTATAGATAATTTATTTAATATTAATTGAGAGTTCATAAATTAGTTTTACTGTTGACTTGTCGTATAAAGTTACAAATGAAGAATCTATAAAGAGCATATTTTCAGGTTTCAAATCAGTATGAGTAATGTGGTTTTCATGTAAAACTAAAAATTGTAAAATTAATAATGATAATTATTATTTAATGAGTCATTTTTATTCCAAATGCTATATTTTTCTTATATTCTTAATCATATTAAATTTTAATTCGCCCAATGTTGTTAATATATGTCCATCAAAACTATAAAATTTACATTTGCAGGCTTTGAGTAGTTGATGACTAATACTTTTTATTTGTTCCAAAGGAAATGATTGGTAGTTGTTATTTTTCTAATCATAGATTATAAATATAAAATTTGGCGAAATAATTAATAAATATACCAAAAAATCGAAAACGCTGGACCCTAAAACTTCAAAGCTAATACATATGTGGCCTTGATAATCGAACCAATCTATCAAGTTTACGCAATTTCTGTTTTAATAAGTTTTAAAAAAATCGTAATTTTGGTCGTTATAAGTAATATTTGTCTCTAACATTACCTCCAACCCTAAGATATAAATTAAAATATAAAAATTTATAACCTTCTTTATACTGAGGAGAACCTTATTTTTATAAGAACATTTTTGCTCCCAATTTCCATATTAATAGCTACTTAAATTAATCAAGTTACTCTCTATATATAGGTTACCTACCCTTACCGGCAATGTGTGTAATCAATCAATATGTCTATTTGTAATATCTTTTAAATTCTGAAATTTATAGGCTAAGTATTTTACACATATTGGGATACATTTCCTGCAAAATCAGATTTTTCAAATTTAAAAAAACCTTAAATGGTATAATTAAAATAACAAAATCATTCATTTGTAGAGCGTCTTTTAAATTTTAATGATCTAATTTGTTACAAAAATGCATTGCAGCAAGAGTAAAATTTGTATTCTATAAATTTCAGACAATTTGCTCATGAACTTTTGAGTTATCACTAATATAAAATGGATTAGTTGAAACACACATTGCTGGTAACATCTAATAATTGTATTTTAACTAGACCTATGCCCCGAGATATAAATTGGCCGCGGGAATTTTTTTTATCGACGGTTGTCAAAGAGCGTCAAATTCGCTGCCGCGATTAATAAATTGGCGGGGTGCATTTTAAAAATTATAATAAATGAAATTAATTAATAATTCAATATATTTATAGATATTTTATTTGGGCACTCTTAGTTTCATTTTATCATTGTTATTAGAGTTATTCTTAAATTTTCAATCGCTTTTTTTCTGATCAGCATTTTGTACTGGTACAATAATTTCCATCAATCAGAGTTCTTCATCTTTTCTCCCCAATTTTAAGCAAGGTACATAAAAAATATAATCATGCATTCTATGATGCTTTTCTATTTTCTTTCTTCAAATTAGTAGCCCTACGTATCTCCGCCAATGAATGATTTTATTATTAAGAGAGCGTTGTTATTTTATAGTTATAAACAGTTTTTTTTAAATCTGTTTGAATCCATTAAAATTTATTAAATAAATGGATAATTGGAGATGAAAAGGATAAACTTAGCATAGTAAACATAATAATTTTAATATCCAAATTTAAAAAATGTTAAATTAATATATAATATACAATGAATGGTGAAATAAACTAATTAAATTTATAAATATAAAAGTATATATTTTAGTTGGTAATCGGTCAGGAGTGTCCTAGACAAAATGATCAGGACAAAAATTTCCCAGACAAAAAGACTCGACATAAATATCCCTGACAAAAAATAATTTATTTCTCACATATTGCTATGTATTGAATTGTTGTTTTTTTATTTTTGTATTTTTTGTAAAATGTTTATTTTCATTATTATATATTATCAGATGAATTTGAATAACAAAAATAGAACATCATTATTATTATTTTGATATTATATAAAAGAAATAAAAATGCAAGAATTCTATTACTACTAAAAATACACTACAAGAATAGCGAAGTCAATAAAAAGTCTAACGGATTCAAACCTATGTTACAAAGATTGCTACCACTTAATTAAAGAATATAAAAACACGCAACCATGGTTAACATCATCACAAGAAAAATCCTTGTTATTAACATCAATAGGATGTGAAATTTATAAAATATTGGTAAATTTAGCACCAGATAGTCCAGGAAATAAAGAGGCATTAGAAATACATAACAATTTAATCAAATTTTTTCATCCTACTTTTAATATAAATGTAGAAAGATATAATTTTTATCAATATAATCAAAAAAAAATGAGGAAAAATTAATAGACTATATAAAAAATCTTCGAAAATTAGCAACGACTTGTAATTTGGGGAATTTAAATACTGCATTAAGAGATAAATTTATATTCGAAATAAAAAATCCTAAAATTTTACAAAGATTATTATGAAGCTGATATAGACATAAATAAAGCTATTCAAATAGCTACTGCATTAGAAACAGCTATAAATACAAAATTATTTTATAATGATGAAACCAAAATCGATCAATTAGAAGAGGAACATAATGATAAAATAAACAAAATTAAAAAAGTTAATGATAATGATAAACACTCAAAATCTTATTTGAATAACAAAAAATAGAACATCGTTATTATTATTTTGATATGAATTAAAAGAAATAAAATTGTAAGAATTCTATTACTACTATTATATATTGAATTTGAATAACAAAAAATAGAACATTGTTATTATTATTTTGATATGAAATAAAAGATATAAAATTGTAAGAATTCTATTACTACTAAAAATACACTAAACATATATTTCATTCTTCGCTAAAAATATTTAGATGTTGGTTAAATGCAATGCTAAGCGGTTCATGGCAAGGCCTGATGTGGGCTAGTGATAATCTAAGCATAATTTCATTAGACACAAACCCACCGCGGTTTAGGCGAAGACATGATAGCGAGCTCGTGGACCGGTTTAGCGGTTAGCTTAGGCCATGCAATAAAGATAAGGGCTAGTTTATATTAGATGAGGAAAAAAATACTATTTTTATTAGACACTAAACCAGATACATTCGGTAAAATTTAAAAGATATGAGCTGTGTAGAAAATAATAATTTTTTAATTCCCGTTTAAAGCATAGGGGTATTTATGTCCAGGGTCTTTTTGTCAGGAGTATTTTTGTCGGGTCTTTTTGTCTAGGCCATTTATGTCCGGGGTTCATTAAATTTGAAAATACTTATATATTTCTACGCCGCGCCTAATCAAAAATCGGCGGCAAGCATGTCGGTGTAATTACTCAATCGACAATCTTTTCGAGGTGGAAAAAATTGCTGAAGGCAGAGCATGTGTACAGGTCTAATTGCAACTGATTTATTTAATTATTTGTATTTGTAATTATTTTAATTTCGATGTAGTAAATAAACATTACGATTTTTGTTTTGTGTCCAATTTTTTAATCATTTTTAAAACATTAATTTCTAGCTTAGCGGCCTCACGGTATTTTTCGATATTTTTGACTATTTTTAAAGCTTGAGTCTGTGGAGCATCATGACGTCTTCTAAAATATTTTATTTGAGATTAGATATTAATATCAAAAATTTCTTCTTCCCAATCCAAATAAAATCTGCATGAGACGACACACTATGCAACAAAATCAAGTCATAATGTTTTTATTTTAAATTTACAAAGTTATTGGATAGACAAAAGGATTAATTAACGTCAATTTGTATTTTTTAAATGATCTTATATAAAAAAATATATATCTTCATACATTTTGTCGGAGACTAATGCCACTTTCCCAAATGTACCTTCACCGAGAGTGCATATAATTTCATCTACGTATTATTAAATAAAACATGTAAACTATATATAAATTAAATTTACATTGGTTTCTAATGTAATCACCCTTTTTATATATCAAATGTCCAAATTTGTCGTTTTTAATAATCTTCGGTAAATGTAAGTGGCAAATTGATTTTCGCTTGATGATTATAAAATATATTTGATAAAATAAATAACATAAACTAATGAATTTCATTTTTTAAAAAACATGTATTAAACTCTCAATAATTAGTTGCAATTTAGAAAATATTCCTTAAATCATTTTTTGTATCATACAATGTCCGCATAAAAAAAGATGTAGCTAACGAATAATTATTAATATCGACGTTTTGAATGCTTGAAACATTAGGGTTCATACATTGAATTTAATCAACAATTTTGAGTCCCGAGGAGTAAGAGATGCATTAACTCTTCGGATTCATTAAGATATAAAATTTTGAAAAACTATAATTAATAAATATTTAACGATAAATTATTTGGTCATTATAATTTCTAACCTTTTATTTTTTTAAGGAGAATAAGTAATAAAATTAACGAGGAGGTCAAGATAATCCCGCGGTTCACAAAAAAATCAATATCATTGCTTTCACACTCAACCGCCATAAAGGGATTATGGGACCAAAAAATAAGAGTAGAAATAGTTATCAATAGAAATACACAGAGAAATATAATTGAAAGATTCTTCCAAAGGTCCCCAAATTATTTATAAATTTTTTTAAATTATCTAAAATACTCTAGGAATACTGTTCCTAAAAATATAAATAAATATATTTTATTTAACAGTATAATGTAAAATAATTTCAATGACTAATGTAAATTGATTATCTAATTTGCATATGGTATGCCCAAATATAAAATAATGATGAATATTAATAATTTAAAATATACAAGTAGGAAAGAAAAATAACAAAATTAATGCAAGAATTCATGGAAAATTAAAAATGAATATTTAATTTTTTAACAAAAATATTTAATAAAAGTATCTGAATCTTTTATTAAGAAATTTAAAATGATACAAGATTGTTTAAAAATAAATTATCTTCGATACATATATAAGTATCTTATTAAAAATGTCAAAAAGATATAGAATACGAGATATAAAAATTGTATTTTAGACACAAGTATTCGCGGTACTACCCAACTCTGTCACAAAGTTTGCCCTTTTAAACTCATAGCAAACGCCCTTTTTCAAACTTAATAATATTTAAATGATAATTATATTATATTATTGAAAATGGCACTAATAATTTGAAAAAGGACACTATGTCAAATGAAACGTGACTAGAAAAAGTTATATATATTAAAACTATTATTTTGACAAAAATAAATTTCTTACCTTTTAATTATTCTTTCTAAAAAATGTAGTTTCAGGCTATGCTATCGAAGGGCGTAACCAGGTTATCCAAATAGAGGGAGAGGGGATTTTTTAGTCCAGTGGTTATATATATTTTTCACTTTTAAAATATGTAACATCTTTTTATCATTATCTTCGCAAAGTTGGCAGAACAATTGGAAGCACTAATTCTAAAATCTAAGCACCCCTATATTTCTTGTTATATTTGTGAACAGGTAAAGTAGTCAGATTAAAAAAGCAACAAAATTTTGGCCAACTTTACAATTAAAAATAGACTCCTTTAAGTGCAAACGGGGGAGCAGACAGGGCAACTACCCTGGACCGCCAAAATAGAATATTTTAGGAGACAAAAAAATTTGGTTCTTGTGCATTGATTTGGTTCATTTTTTGCTTTTTGATTTGGATATTTCCTTTTTTTATTATTGATTTGGATTCTGATTGCTTACAATTTAGGTAAATTAGCCGCCGAATTTATTCGCCTGGGGTCGTTTAAAGTCTTAGGACGGGCCTGAATCGTCAAAAATAATTTATTCTGAAAATTTTATCAGGGTTTCCGTGTCCTGAGTCGACTTATTACTTAATAGCCGGCTGTTGCTATTTAGTATCGACTAACAACCTAAAAATCAAAATTAAAAAAAACAACCAATAAAGACGAGAATAAAATAGGAAAAATACAATCCCATAAATACTTAAAAACAAACCAAAATACAGTAAGGAAATTTTATAGACGCTGAATATCTAGGTTACGCCAATATTTAATGCCTAATTAGTACTAGTTTATCAATTAATTTAGCCAGTCACTGAACAAAAACCAAGTTATATGCGAAATAAAAACTAAAATCATGCTTAAGGATGTGTCTTAATATCTGATTTAAAATCTCGATTCAAAAATTAATTACTCTAAATAATATATTAAAGTGGTTTTTTCCCTGATTTAAAATATTTTTAAATCTTATCTAATATATATAATCTCCTTAATCAAAACATGATCGTTTTCGTATATTCCTAATGTTTATAAAATTTAAGGAGACTATATAGTGTAATGTTATTTTTTTTGCTCTCTACGAGAGTCGAACCACAAACCTCCCGTTTTAAAGGCGTATGTTTTAAGCATGCACCAACTTGAATATAATTAAATTTAAAATATTAATTATTTATATATTAATTAATAACTGATATATTTAAAATTTTGCCGTTTATTACCAAACTAGCTGACGGGGTTGAAGGGTAATTATTTAGTTTGTGTGTATGGTACTAAATATACTTTATTAATAATTTTATATAAATATTAAAATTTAGGAGAAAAAGAGGTAAAATTGTTGTAATGTATACCGTGAGAGCATGTATTAGAAATATCAAAATTTAAATTTGTGATGGAAATCATATTGGATAAAATTTAAATTAGAGATGCTTTAAGATTTTTGAATTTTAAATATGGGTTATAGTAATTATTTAGTTTGTGTGTATGGTACTTGATGTATATTTTATATATATTTAAACTATTATTCTTAAATGATTGATAGATGTCAATCATTTGATAGATGTCAATCATTATAAATATATATTTAGTTAGTAATAATATTGATTTTTATATGATAATCGGCTTCGCAATAGCCGAAGGAGTTCATCAAGGGTCGGCCTCAGCCCACTCTTCATTACAGTAATAGATGCAAGGACGAAATGAAAGAAAGGTTAGTGAATTGGATAAATATCCTAGAAACGCACGGATTAATAGTAAATAGAGAAAAGACGGAGTATATGGTGATAGAAGGAGATGAAACGGAAGTATTAATATAAAGCTGCAAATATTTGGGCTCCACAAACAAACGGCACAATATATCTGGAGTGCTATTGATAAAAGAATCCACACGAATTAAAGGAAAAATTTACAGTTCCATAGTATAACCAACTATTCTATATAGTTCGGAAACATGGCCAACCAAAGAATCAGACGAGAGAAGTCTACAAACTATGGAGATGAGAATGCTGAGGATGATATGCTGAGGTAACAAGAAAGTATAAGGTGCGCAGTACAAGAATACTAAATAGTTTAAAGGTAGTGCCCATTAAGACTAAATATTGGTAGACAGACTTAGGTTGTATGAGTACATAATGAGAAGGCTTATGAACTACATTAGGAAATAAAGTTGTGGAAGTGATGGGCAAACGTAAAGAGGAAGGCCAAAACTTCAATGGGGCCATAAAGTTAGAGCCAATATAAGAAGTATAAAATAGATAAAAGCATAAAGTGGAGAGAGATGTTGAAGGAGCTTACCACCAGAAAGGTGAAAGCTAAAGAAAGAAAAAAATAAAATAGCAAGTATTATTAAATTGTAAAGAGAAACAATTGATAATCAATATATTAATAGACAGTTATTTTAGAGTCATATAAATTTATAAAAATTAGAAATATTTTATTGGTGCAGTGGTACCAGGATTCGTTAACTCTTAGGGTGATTTTGTTTGGAAAATTTCAGAAGTTATTAATCAAGAAAAAGATTTTCTAGGACCGGGTTCCTTAAAATAATAGTGGATTCCGGATAAATAAAGGTAAGAAATTTTTTTTTTGGTATTATAAATTACACAACGCAATAGTAGGATTTTTTAGATTAAAATTAGAAATATATAAGATAAAATTTTAAATTTTGGATAATTAATGAAAAAATGGCTTTTTATTTTAATGATAATTATAATAAGCATAATATTAATAAAATGTCAAATTTTAAGAGTAATTTTAATAAAATATTTAATTCGAATTTTAATAAAGTGGATAAGACTAATAATGTCATTACTGCATTAATTTTTTTTGTGTTTTATGTAATCTTAATTATAATGAAACAATTAATAAGGAAAATAAAAAGAAGATCTCTTAAAAATAGAGAAATTGATATAAAAAACACAAATACCGAAAATTTAATTCCTAAAGCTTTGGTGAAATCTACAGATATTAATGAAGATATAAAATAATAGTTTACATTTAATTTTGTTAGAATTAAAAAATTTAAATGCTAAAAAAAATGTTGAAGAAAAAAATGATAAAAATTTAGATACGGGTGACGTATTTAAATTTCTTCAAAACATTGAAATATCGGAGGATATCAATAAAAAAATAGATTCAATTGTGATTGAATTTAAAGAGAAAATTTCTGAGGTTTTGAGTAAAAAGCCAGAAGAAATTTTGAAAAATAATAAAACAGATAATACTTGAGACAAAGTACTGAGAAATCTATAATTTTAAGTGAAATTAGAGAAATGAGAGAAAATATGAAAAATTTATCCAGAGATGTTTCCAACTTAAAAATCAAAAATAATAATGTGATTGAAAGTTGTGAATTTTGTGGAAGAAGAGGACATATAGGTAAAAATTATTATTCAAGAGACCGAAAAACTAATGAAAATGTGACTGCAAAACCAAGTGAAAAAAAATGACATAGTGTGTCATAGATGTGGTTTTGTAGGACATATAAAAAGAAATTGCATGGTGAAAGAAGCAAATTTCAAAAGTGGTTTTCCGCAAAGAACCTCGGTAGTGTTACAACCGGTGGTTAGAAATATACAGAGTCCTATTATAAAAAATGTGGATAAAATGGAGATATCTAATACAGATTATGATAGAATGTGTTTCAAATGTGAAGAAATGGGACACATTGCCTTACATTGTATCCAAAGTGTGAGTGGGTCACAGTGACTAAATGATTTGAAAGAGAATCATATAAAAATAGATAAATTAATTTTTGAAAATATTAAATTTTGTGATATATATAATTTTATTAAAAATTTTGTGG